CATTGACCCTTCTGCAGCCAGAAGCTGTTCCGCCAAATGGTTGGAGAACTACACCAACGTCATAGGTGGCCTGGCGCGGTACTTTGGTGATAGCCGCCAGTGCATACTATCGATCGGAAATAGTGACATCTCTACCGCAATGTCGGATCTGACTGCTGGTGTTGCGCCAAGATAACGCGAATCCTCTAAGCGCTTGTCCAGATATCGCCTACACTATAGTCGGACGTCTTGGCACCGACATAAATAGGCACTGCTCTTTGCTATTGGGTGTCCACACCAGGATAGAGCCGTCACGTAGTGCACAACTACCTTTACTGTAGCTGCAGTGTTTGAGGTCTTCCGCTGGGGAATCTGGGAAGGAAGACCCATGGCGCATGTGAATGACGGTGAGTATTACGTAGCAATTAATTGCAGGTGCGAGGTGTTTAGAACAGCATCCAAATGGAGCGGAGGGCCATGAGATATGCAAAATATTAGAAGTAGTCCAGGTGATACCAGTCCACTGTATGTTCCCTTTAGCGCAACGGTGATGTTGGATCATGAGCTTACAGCATTCAAAGGGAACGATTTGCAAGTCTCAGTATGATTCCCAAAAAGTGCTTCAAAAAAGTTTGCAGTATAGATCACTGTGTGCGTCACAATCTTACAAAGGAAAGCAGACGTATCATAGCGTTTTGTGTTTGGGCGATACACGTTAGAGAGAGGACGTGGAATAATGTCAAGACTAGGAATAATATACGAACAATTATATGACGGGATTCTCATAAATGTATCCGATAGATGCTGCGGGCAAAGCCACGCGGACATCGGAAGAGCTTAGCGCTCCCGCGAAGAGAAAGCGCCACGAGTGGCAACAAAAACTTGACCTGATGCAATTGAGTCAAACCAGATCTATAGGAAGAAGAAGGCAGACAGTCAAAAGGCCTGTGGGCTAATTGATGAGAGCACTTGCTCTCGCTTCAGATCGTTCTAACGCTGATTAATTTTCGCGCAGAGAGCCACAGAGAGCTCGAATTTGCTCGATTACTTCCGAAAGGACAGGAGACTGGAAACGACGAGCAAGATATATCTCAAAAGATGGAGAAGGGTGCTACAGACGACAATCAAATGAACACGAACACACAGTGTAAGAATGAGTACATGAGCGGTGGTTCCATGAAGGGCACAGCCGAGCGAAATGTTCGCTGTTCCCCACAGTTGTAGCAGGGTTGGGAAGGTCCTCCTTGAGTTTCTCATGAATATCCATCGTTGCGCTGCTTGTGAAATGGACGGTCTAGATTGAACCGAGAAAGATTCGAACTTTGATATCGACTTTGCCTAGGGATAAACGCTCGACGAGGTTGATCGCGCCTGCGGCTGAACCCTCTAGGAGCTGCTGTCTTGACTTCGTTAGGTCTAGGAGGGGCTGGCGGTGTAATTAAACGGTTGCTGTAGCCTCAACTAGTAACTGCTCTACCATCTGAGTTTTTGCGACAACCTGCTCGGGTTATCAAGCTTAACGTAATACCTGATATCCGGATGGAGGCTGGACGAACTCTTCCAAGACACGCTCCTCCGGTGTAACTGGATCCTGGCCTGCACCGACCAAACTAAGCAAACGATCAGTGAAGGTAGCTGTAGATTTGCCGGTCAGATGCTTGCAAGCGGATGGAGCTTGCCGCGCTAGTACATATGCTGAGGCCCTTTGAACTATTCCCTAAGGTGGACGACGATAACGCTTTAGTTCTCGCGTTCCTCCAGAGAGAGTTCCTCGACTTTCTCTAGTGCCGCTCCATCCTGTTAGCCGATGAAGAACCGAGCTTTCTGCTGAGGGGTCCATGAAGCAGATCCCATCCACATGACGTCTTCTAAACGACGTAGCCAAATAAAAAATTGCATAGGATCTCCATCGGATCCTATGCACAAGTCTGTGTAGGGGCCCACCTGGGCTGGGGGATGTTGTCAGTACGCTTACCTACCGCTGCAAACGTATATTAAGATCGGCCAACAAAGCTGAAGTATCTTGGTTAATGCTGTGCGTCCGCATGTCGGTGAATTCCTTTGATTCCGTACGCACGTCGTTGATCGCGTTCACCGTGGCGTCCCAAAGGGCTTCAGCATGTCTTTCCTTCACCGTGGTGTCTTCCGCAATGTTGGACAGTACTTGCGCCAGTTCACTGGTGCTCAAATGGGCCGAACGGTTGGAGGCATCCTAGGTAAGAGGGCATCCGCCCTAGGATCAGGAGAGTTACCAGGAGAAGGCGAGTGAGACTGGCTTATAGGTGAACGAAAACAGAATGATGGTCCCAAGTGAGGGATACCGGCTTATATATATGCTTATGGGGGAGGAGAAAGGGCGGTCCGATTCCGTATAGTGACTAATGAGGACAAGAAAGAACTGTTGAAAGAGAGAAGAAAAGGTCAAAATCTCTGATCTCCTGCATAACGATCGCCTCACGATAAGAAAACCGCGGGATTTCAAACAAAGCATCTGCAGAGACTGTAAAGGGAAACTCACCTTAGTCGCCGATGCACAGCACACCGTTTACAGAAAAGGAAAGTAAGTATCATATTACCGCTAACAGGAAGCAAATTGAAGCGACGAGGGTGATATACGAAATATGTGAGCGAATACGTTGATAGTGCGATACTGTGATAGAACGAGGAGAAGTTTGCGCTGTGAATTCAAAACAGCAGGCAATCGTTTAACACAAGTTTTGACACGTTCAACCGTGTTAAATCACTCATCCCGTTGCTACATAAGCAAGCGATTAGCAAAGTCCTCTGCCGGCCAAATGGCACAGGGAGGGTGACTGCCATTACGAAGTGACCGCCCGTGGCTCGAGGGTTTCTGGTTCGGATCCTCCGCCGCACATCGGTTTTGCGGGCGCCTCTACCGCCAAGAAAGGGGGTGCCTACAAGCCAAGGTATGTCCTGCCCTGTTAGATTTGCCGGTGTCTTTGACATCGCCAGACAGCTCCCAATTCGTGCAGAGATGGCGGCCCCCTAAGTTCCTCGATCATTAGTGAGTAAGGGAGACTGGGGGGAGGGGGGTTATTCTCGAACCACACTAATGAGGCACATCTCAAGTAGGTCTAGACTTTTGACTTACTGTTTTCATTAGAACAAAGCGCTTGAGTAAAGTAGCGCATCTGGATGGAATGTCAGAAGAAAACCACACAAGGCCGCGGGTTCGAAAAAAGGCCACTCTTCTCCAAATTCCAGAAGAAAGGTGTCATTTAAAGAAACACTAGAAGAAGGCCTTGTTTGCAGAAGTCATTTGACGTAGAGGTGACGCTACGATATACAACTGGATAACGAGCTGGCTGTGATCAAAGAGCGAGTACTGTAGTCTTTGTCCGGAACTATCTGGCGAGGCGATCGATTTTGAATTCAACATCTTAAAAAGTGACTAACACGGAGTGGTCAGCTTCGTGAGTCGTTACCTTGAGTAAAATCCTGATTGGAACCAGCGAGGGGTGAACCACTCGCTGCTGCAAGTAAGTGAGCGCGCCCAATGGAGTGGATGGTATCATGTCACGCGAGTCGTCAGATTAAGAAAGTTTATCTTTGAGGCATTAATAGAGAGAGAAGGCAGGATGACCCGTTGATATCTCGAAGTTACATCATTAAACACAAACGTACAAACGAGCAATGGACGTAGAACGATATACAGCTGGAGGAACAGCTGGCTGTGATCAAAGAACGAGTACTGTAGCCTTTGTTTGGAACTATCTGGCGAGGCGATCGACTTCGAACTCTGTTACGGCACTAGGATACAAGCCAGCTCTTGGTATGGAGGATCTCGCCCTTGAGATGAGAAAGACGATGGGCATGAGATGAGAAGATGAGAGGAGTCAACGAAATTCGGTGTGGCTTCCGTTAGAGTTCTCCTCGTCGCACGAGCTTTAAGACACCGCCCCAAAAGGTCGTGCGGAGGTTTAACAGTGCCTATACAGTGGAGTGATGGTGTAAGATGCGTCCACGCTTACAGTACCACCTCCGCCTTTCTCTTCAGGATGATCCCATTTTACATCCCAAGGCCCATGAAACTTTCTCTCATGATGTGAGAACAACCTTGCATACTCGGAGGCGAAAGTTAGGCAATAGCGTATAGCTCTAGAGGGATAAAGTTGCCCCTTAACTCTCGCCATAATACACTGGTGTGCAAAACTTAGGGACGAAAGCAACTTTCGGTTACTGTACCTCTGCCAGACTACAGAGCTCGATGAAATTTATACCGCACCAGTAGAGGATCATTACGGTATTTCACAGGAAGCAACTGGCAGAAAATCGAAATAGGACGAGCAAATAAGACATTTTTATTGAAAGGTGCCGATTACACATAGTTCTTCACAATTTATCCTAGTACTTCAAAAAAAGCGACGCGGTTCCTAATAAGGTGTGTGATCACCACGGACAGCAGTAAATGCTCTGCAACGCGATCCCATACTTTCTACGAGGTTGGAAATGAGTCATCGTGGTAAGGCATTCCATCCCTCTATCAGTGCAATTGACAGTTGCTGGATGGTCAGTGGTGCATTTGGACGTGCTGCAGTGCCTCTACCCAGTGCATTCTACACGTGCTCAATGGGAGTCAGGTCGGGGAAACGGGCAGGCCACTGCATTCGCTGGATAACCTCTGTGGTCAAGAGCTTTTCCACCTGAGCTGTTCGAAGCAGTCGCGCATTGTTATCCATAAAAATGAATTCAGGGCTCACTGCAGCCCTGAAAAGATACACATTAGGGAGGGATTTCTGTTCACAATAACGCCGACTGTTAGGGGTCAGATGCTTAAAAATTTGGAGGTTAGTACGGTTACGAAGCATGATGCCTCCCATACCATAACACTTCGACCACCAGAACGATCAAGTTCCACAACATTTCTGAGAGAGGTGCGTGTCCCCACCTCTGGCCATGAAGGGCGTCCAGAATCACTACTCAGACTGAATCCGCTCTCATCCTAAAAAAGCAAACGGTCCCATTCCTCATCGGTCCGTTCGCTATGCCCTGGGACAACCCTAAACGGTCACGCCGATCGCGAGGGTCAAAGGTACCCTACGTAGTGGTCGTCGGGCGAAGAGACCGCAACCGTGCAGTCGTCGTGCCACTGTTGGGCTTGTGATGGCTTGCTTTGGAATCCTGTTGAATGGCATTGCAATCAAAGAAGCTGACTGACGTGGATCTCTTCTTGTCTGCTGCACAATGTAACGATCATACCTTAGTGTAGTTGTTCTTGGTCGACCACCTCCTCTCCTTCGTGCAGCAGTATTAGGGGCTTGGAATGCTCTCCGTGCACGTGAAACAGCGCTGTGAGCGATACCAGGTTCCTGAGCTGCACTTGTCAAAGTTCGACCTTTTCGAGTTTCTCGATGATCCTTCCTCGTGCCAGGCATCCAGACGAT